AAAATATTGCTCCAAATCCAGCCATCGAAGGCATAATTTTTGGCAAATTATTACATGCCAAAAAGCTGCCTATGTTTTCTAAAGAACACAAATGAGCACTTCGGTTTCTAGAATAACCTAAGATTCAGAATGATCCCTAGACAAATGGGTTTCACTCGCTGAAGAGGAAATTACTATCCTCCACACTAAAAAAAAAAAAAAAAAAAAAAAATCTCCTACAATGATAAGAGATATTTATTTCCAACAAATAAATGTCGTGGAATGTGGGTGGGAGGGGAAGAGAAGGTTCACGAAGCCCATCTCGGCTAGGGCAGACTCCCGGAGCCAGTGAGCTCTGCGTGGCATGTGTGACGTTCCTGTGAAATGGGCAGCTGTTCCTGGGCAAAATGCAAGAGCTTGTCTAACCTGTTCCCGGGGACTTCTGTCATCACAAGAGAAGCGAGTGAACCCTGGAGGCTTCCCTGGACTAAGAGGACTGGAAGCAGGGGTGTGGGGAAAGGAATTTTAAGAGCCTGAAGAACACCGGACACCTCTGATTTGCTCATTGCTAGTAGATGCTGAGGTCCTGCATGAATAACGCAGTTATAATTTGAATATTTTATGTCTCGATATCTGGGCTCTCATTCTGTGGCCGTTCCCTAATACAGAGAGCGAGTTCAGCACCTGTGATCTCTTTCACGAAACTCACAGAACAGATCTTGTCGCTAGAGACCTAGTTTCTACTCTCTGCCTTTTACAGGCCTTTGGTGTACTGGATTTTCAGCTGGATTTCGGAGTTCTCAACAAGTGGAGGTGGTGAGCCAAATGGTACCTCCTCCATGAGGTTGTGTGAGCAAAGACAGTCGCAGCAGGAACAAGCTGGCAATATATTTGAGAGAGGTCTCCTCATTCATATGCCTCTTCGAGCACGGAGGCTGACCACATCCAGACACACAAGGGACTTCAACAATGAGCTTGGCTTCTGACTGCCAGGAAGCAGACTAAGACCAGAGTATCTTTTTTTTCCCCCCTCAGTTTCTCCAGATAGCTGAAGTTGGTAAATGATTATCAGTGTGAAGTTGGGCTAAAGCAGTTTCACATTTGACTAGACTCTGGTTCCGTAGTTCAGACTCATAAAAGCTTCCAAAACAGAGAAACTCTATTTGCCGCTAGCCTAAATTGTACCAAACTTCAAAAATTTTCACCACTTTCAAGAGAAGAACCCAAGAGAATAAAACACAAATGAGAGAACAACCACACACACACACGATGAAAGAGAAAGAGGTGTAAATCAAAATATAGTGAAATTCCTTAAGTTTTCACTGGTTGTTTTCTTCTTTTTAATTATTAGATAGTCCCTAAAAGAGAACAATGTTTCCAAGTCACTTCCAAGGCACCTAAACAGCTGCCTTCTAAACTGTACTAGCAGAAATTAGCACGACTATTTGCAAAACAGATGAACAATTTCAGGACTGTGAAGCTCTAACGGAGGCGGAGGTATCACAGATTTCAGAAGGGAGGAAAACACCTTCCAAACTAATAAAGATTTGAGCTGGAGTGATCACTTTTCCCACCAATACTGAAATCCCAATGTAGCTTGGTATCACATCTTTTATTCACTAACGAGGCTTTGGAAAACCACACCGTAGCAACAAGAGACAGATCTATGGTAGCACTAAAAATGAATGCCACTCAGTAGTTATAAACATTTCTGAGAGACCGGAGGCAGACAGGAAAGAGGCCCCGCATATCACAGTACACACCAGGGGTTTCTGGATGCTTGTTACGGCTGGCATGAGCACACCCCATCTATCAGCTGACTGTTCCTTCTACAACTACCAGGGCCCTGGTGATACTGGGATTCATCATTTCTTAAGAAAGACACCCTTTGGGGCGCTCAGTCATAAAGTGTCTGCCTTCGGCTCAGGTCATGGTCCCAGGGTTCTGAGATGGAGCCCCGCATCAGGCTCCCTGCGCAGCGGGTGGCCTGCTTCTCCCTCTCCCACTCCCCCTGCTTGTGTTCCCTCTCTCTTTTTCTGTCAAATAAATAAATAAAATCTTAAAAAAAAAAAAAGAAAAGAAAGAAAGACACTCTTCTTTTGGAGAGCTAGCCCATTGGGAGCTGCCGGTCCCTCCTCCTTTTATGAGTAGCTTTCTCCTGCCCCAACACAGTTTCAGTTCCAACCAGCATATTCAAGTTCCTCAGCCTAATGTTATTAAATCTGCCCATAAAACTCTGTCTTCCATTAACGACCATGTAAAACATTTAAAAAGCAGATTCCTTGAGTAGGCAAATTTGAAGAGCAGGATCTGACAATATGGTAAGTGGCATACATGATACTCTCAGGTTTTGGGTTAAGAAATACACGTGCGGGGGCACCTGGGTGGCTCAGTAGGTGAAGCGTCTGCCTTCGGCTCAGATCATGACCTCAGGGGCCTGGGATCAAGTCCCACATCAGGCTCTCCGCTCAGCGGGGAGTCTGCTTCTCCCTCTGTGCTCTTTCTCTCTCTCAAATAAATAAATAAAATCTTAAAAAAATACACGTGGGGTTGCTGATGAAACAAGGCACGAATATACTATATGTTTGCATGAACCACAGTTTGTGCTTGGCAGTAGTCATTGAAATAGGCAATAGAGAGTAATGTCCAAATGCCTACAGGACTGCCTACCATGACAGAGGAGACAAATTTCTGAACTTCTTAGGCATCAGGTCTTTATCACTATTTATTATCTGGATTTGACCACGGGAGGTCAAATTAGCACCTCTATCGAGACTGAAAAAGACCTGTATTTCATAGCCTCATTAGTGTTTCAGTTGTCTTGGTAGTGAGAATTACAGAGTAAGTCAGTATATCAAATATATCTCTCTATATACATATGTATCCGATATTTTTTAAGTGTACTAATATTTCTCATTTCCTCCAGTAGAGGTCAGAAAATAGCAATAGAGGAATATGAAAATCTACGAAGAGAATATTTTCGAGTGATTTTTCTCTAGCTAGGATTATGGAAGGGTCTTTAAATTGCTTTTCTTTACCCACCTTTTCTAATTATATTTTTCCTTTTGTAGTCATTAAAAAGCAATGGCATTTATCTGAAATTTTATAAGGAGCACTGACGGCATAATGTATTTACCCGGTATCAAGTCAGAGATACTGCTTAATTATTTGTATTTTTTTTTCTTAGCTGCACACCGACTATTTGAAATCATCTAAGAAAGCGGCACATGTGGCCATCACTCTGACAAATTATTTCAGTGTAACATCATTTCTGCAACTGATGACTACGAGCAATCTCTTTCAAACAAGGAACTTAATGTCAGCCGTAAGATTACCAGAAGAACAAAGCATCCTGGGCATAGCTTCTGACTGCCAAGAAACCCAGCACACACAAAGACAGAGACATGAATATAATCTCTAGTCATTTCCTTTGTCTGGAAAAACCTAAAAGAGATCCTAGTGTTCTGGATCAGTCTCTGAAAGTCTTCCATATTAGGACAAGGAAGACAAAGAAATCGCGGTCAACGTGACCTTCACTTAAAAGCAAGGAATCCAATGAAGGATGCTTATTAAGCCTGTTGATTGATGTGTCTCTTTTTCTGCTAGACACAGATGGAAGCAAGGTGCAAAGGCTTATAAAACAAAATCTGAAGGTCAACCAAAATATTTATGTATAAATTAAGGAAATCTTTTACCCTATTGTACCAAATTAGATAGATGTTTATTTCCTGTTTTATTAAATGACTCATAATGTACAGTCTGCTTTTTGTCCTTCTTGATATTATCACTCACAAATAATATAAGGGTGTCAACTTTGTTAATGTAAATCAAAATTGACTGCTGCTAGTTACTTCTGTCTTCTAAAGGGATGATTTCTACCAGTGAGGAGTATGTCCCTGTACTGCTCATTTCCACCTGTAAAGGCAAATATGGAAGAGAGGAAAAGCTGAAGTTCAAAAGAGAGGAAAAGCTGAAGTTCACTTCTCTGCCAGTTCTCTGTGGGACTCCAGGGTTGGACCCAGAGTAGGGGACTCTTTGCTTGTCAGAGAACAGTGACTTTTTGGACCAAGACGATGATTCTGGGAAAAGAAGGATCTGGGAGATTTGAGAGGAGTCTGAAGACAGCAACACAGTAGGTGACTTGGATGCACAGAGAAGTGCGGCCAGTGAGAAATTCCCAGGGGGCTCATTGGTCTAAGACCTTATTAGAGTAAGAATGTCCAATATTCAATTCTAAGCTATTTGTGTTTCTGCAGTTAACCCCTGCCCCACACCCCTATTGCTCAAAACTTCGGTCAAGTCTGTTGCATGCAAAGGCTTGGGATGGTCTGAAGACAATCAAGATAAAGAGGTGAATTTGAACACAGGTTGGCATGGAGCAAAGGGAAGATAAGAGTCACAGGCTGTAAGATGTGAACGAGCAGAGATGTCATGGCAGCAGGAACCATGGGCCACAAATGATCATGGGAATGGCAGACCCAGTAAACTCACAGAAATTTGGGGGAGATCAATGGAGCTTCCCCACAAAAGATGGAATTTGGGGCTTGAGCCACTTTTATGTTAATCTCCAAAGAACAGTAATATTAGATGATATATAGGATACAATGACAAAATTTCAAAATATTATGTTAGGCATATTACAAATACTTTTCATAATATGAAGTCTAGGGCCATATTTATAAAACTGTACACAGGTTTTTGTATCACAAAGAGCCCAGGTATTTAAATAGAGGTATTTAATAAATCAATCACAGACATCTTTTTCTCTATTGGTTTTGCTAAACTTTTTGCCAAATGGGCAATGCCACTTTGTCAATAACCTTCCTAAATAGGTCAGAATTCCCACCTAGCTCCCCTTTGATGACAATGAAAACATTCTCAGAATGGTTGAAATACACTTATGAAATACATATGCATCATTCAGTAACGAAGTAGATTCTCTGAGGGAAGGATCTGGAATTCATATATGGAAAGACCTATAGAGAAGTCTTCAAATCCTTCAAAGGCTGGCCCAGGCTTACCTTTACATGGTAGATGAGACGCTCTACCTCATTCACTTTGTAGGTCTCCAGTCCTAGCTCCTTGGCTAATCTTAAGATACGATTCTGAGTTGGCCCAACATAAGATCCTCCAAGGTCCACATATTTAACCTTTTGGTTCTGTTTTCCCACAGGAAAAAAAAAAAAAAATTTGTGAAAATATTCTTCCTAAGATAAAAAAAAAAAGAGTTCTGAAACAAGCAAATTGTCATGTCATGGGTTATAGACACACTTTGAAGTGTATCCATGGAAAATGGGATTCTGTTTTCAATGGTACTTCCTTCATGTGACTTAGTTATTAAACCATTCTTTAAAGCAAATTGGACTGAAAACTTTAAATATGCAACAGACTTCTGAACTCCATCACTTACAACATATATCAAATCATGGTTTGGTTTTTGTAAGCTATAAATTATTGATGAATTTCTCTTTATTTGGTACTTCTGGTTAATTTTGAGATGCTTAATGCTGGAGAAAACCAAGAAAGGAAATGATCACTTCTTATGTGATTAATCCAGACATTTGAAAGATAGCATTAGGGAACATTTGGCCATAATTTGAACCTTTGAAATTGCTCTTATATATTCATAAGCAAGTTTTCTATATGGTCACAAATGGGCTTCACTTCCAATGACTAAGGACCGATCTTTGAAGAAGGGACTAGAAAAGCTCCCTATGTCTGAAGGTGCCCAAGCATAACCAGATACCTATTAGTCAGGGACACCATAGAAGGCCCTCCTTTTCTGTTGTTTGTTTGTCATGTGGCTGCCCTGCCCACCGCCTCCCCCCAAAGGTAAGAGAAGTTTCGCAAAGGTGGGAATCTTTATTTTATTCACTGATGTATTCCAAACATTAGTGCAATAATTCATCCGGGAAGTGCCAAGCATCATGAGATAAGCAAAGAGAAAGAAGAAAATGTTGGAAAGAGTAGCAAATTGAGAGAGAGGCTGTGGAGAATGTTTCAAAGTAACTTCCACTCTCTTAATAAAGAGTCAAATGAAATTCAAGACTTTTAGAAAAGACAAGACTCAGCTTCAGTCTCACATTTCTTGATCCCCATCCTTAACGTCTTACCCTGATGGTGTAAGTCCTGCCTCCCACCCGGTCCCGGGCTTCCAGAACAACCACATTCAGGCCAGAGTCATGCAGAAGCTTGGCCGCTGCCATGCCTGGGGGGAAAATACAATAAGAAATCACAATCAAACACAGCACAGGGACTCCAGGTAAGGGCCTCACGTTAACCTCCATGAGAAAAGTCCATGTTGGCTCACTTACTTGGCCTACTGTTACCTTCACCGTACAGGTGGCTAGGGTTTCTCAGTAAAGGCCCAGATTCCAAGTCTGGGAAAGCAACTGCAATTTCTAGCAAGAACAAAAGGGATTTCATCTCTGGTAAATGTCTCAAACCTTAAAAACATCTTTGGTTACTATATCAACACATCTATCTCTAAGGACTAAGTTGCATGACTATGTGTCTGACAACAGAAATGAAAATACAAGGCCATACTTCAGAGAAATGTATAAGCCCCAATAGGCACGAGACCAAATGTAGCCATTGACTTCATTCTCCAGGTAAATCTGAAAAAAAAAACCAAACCCATTAAGTCAGGGGGCGAGTAGGCCTTCAAAGGATTTGCGAGGACCTAGAATTGACTGTTAAATTCTGTGTCAACATGAACTTTTGGAAGTTGGCGTAAAGTTTCAAAACCAAGGACATAAAATTCAACCCACTCCGTGTCCTAGTTCTCCATGTGACCATCACCGAAGAATGAAATGACTCAGTGCATTCATTCATTTAATTATGAATGTAGTCAAAAATACTTAATGAATGCCTGAACCGCCCTGAATGTAGCTTTAAAAGAAACACAGCTTAGTCTACGGCCATACCACCCTGAACGCGCCCGATCTCGTCTAAAAGAAACACAGCTTGGGCGCCTGGGTGGCTCAGATGGTTAAGCATCTGCCTTCGGCTCAGGTCATGATCCCAGGGCCCTGGGATCGAGTCCCACATCGGGCTCCCGGCTCAGCAGGGAGCCTGCTTCTCCCTCTGACCCTCTCCCCTCTCATGCTGTTTCTCTCTCGCTTGCTCTCTAAAAAATAAATAAAATCTTTAAAAAAAAAAAAAAGAAACACAGCTTTATTGAGGAAAATTTACATACGATAAACTTTACTCAATGAGTTCAATGAGTTTCGACAAAGTACAAAGCTTACTGTAGAGTCCGTATATGTCTTTTTTGGTGTAAGCACATCCTAGGTGAAGTTTTTTACCTCAGAGATCTTAAAACCCTGCATTTTCGAAATGACTCTTACAGAGTTCAGTAAGATGGTTCTCAGAGAGGAAAACTCTGGAACTCTCACCATGATGACTGGATTTCCTCAGTTCTAATTACTTTCATCATTTGCCTCATGAGATCAAACAAAATCAAGGAAATGCCAAGACGCTGGGCCTTATAGACAAATGAAACAGTTCTATCTTGTCTTTCAAAAATAATAGTTCCGGGATTTTTAGACCCCCACCCCAAGTGCAAAAAAAAAGAAAAAGAAAAGAGAGATTCCATAAAAAAAAGGAGCTAATACTCATCGAGTGCTCACTACATTTGAGACGCTATTCTGAGTGTTTTAATATACTAATTCAATGAACTCTCACCACAACCCATTGAGAAAAGGCACTACTGATCTTCCCGTTTTATGGCCAAGGAGACTGAACCACACAAGGTCTCACAAGGAGCTTCACTCCAGGGTCAGAGTTCATAAACCACGCGTACTGCTTTCCACGGGGACTCAGAGCCATCATCTTCATAGATCACATCTCTCATTTTCTGCTACAGGGGGAAATTACATTTTCAAAAGATCTTTTTCACTTTATTTGGCTCAGCGTGTTTTTTTTTTTTTTAAGATTTTTTTTATTTATTTGACAGAGAGAGACACAGCGAGAGAGGGAACACAAGCGGGGGGAGCGGGAGAGGGAGAAGCAGGCTTCCTGCCGAGCAGGGAGCCCGATGCGGGGCTCGATCCCAGGACCCTGGGATCATGACCTGGGCCGAAGGCAGACGCTTAACGACTGAGCCACCCAGGCGCCCTGGCTCAGCGTGTTTTTAAAACACACTTGTATCTTGCTGTTTGATAAGCATCTGTCTAACAGAAAATAGGAGCCCACCGCAAGAGCCATAGCGGAAAGCCGAGGCTTTGTTCACTGTCTATCAGCGATCCTAAAAGAGGAAACCCACTTTTTAAAAGAGGCGGATCTGACATTTCATTATTTGAGTTCATCTGTCTCTCCAAGCCCTGTCCTTGGAGGCCCGGCAGGGGCTTTGAGCTGGTGGCAGGGTAAGGGTCCCGAAGTCCCCGGCCACCCACACATGGTGTGCACAGCATTGCACAACCCATCATTTGGAAAGATAAGGTTTGGATTTTTAATTCCAGTGCTAATTTTACCTCCATGAGGAAAAAAAAAAGGAGAAAATATTTCTATTTATCTATTTTTTAAACATTTCTATTTAGATTCAAAACTGCAGACAATTCAATGCCATTTCTCTTATCAAGCATCAGTTCGACAAATGAAATATGAAATAACATGCAGCCATAGTAACCGCTGTTATCACGGAATTCAGATGGACCCGCTAAGCACGCTGAGGCTTAAACAAAGGGGTTCGGAATGAAATACCACATCATTCATGCACACTGGCGTTTTCTAGTCCACAAAAGGCACTGTCTTTTGGTCTGCGCAGTTACCCAGTAGTATCTGATGTTAAACATGAACAGTTATTAAAACAAGCCAGGGTCTTATCAAACCATTCAGTAGAGACTTCTCCGTGCCCAGGTGCCTTAAAAAGTCATACCCAGAAAATTACAAAAATATCTCTAAATAGGGCAAAATGAGACTACGTGTTTGGAAATACCTTACAATTGGTCTAATATTCACGGGGTGGGGGGTGGTGAGCGGTGTTCAATTCCTTGTTGGACATCAACGGGCAAAAACTGATTTGAAAAATAATTGGTCCATGTATGGGGGGTTTAAGGAAGTCACTGCAGTTTAGGAGGAGGAAACTTCAGGGAACGTAAGAAACTGAGGATCATTTGGTAGACTTGGAGTCCAGTCAGGAGGTGATTAAGGGGAGCCTTCGGCTCAGGTCATGATCCCGGGGGTCCTGGGATCGAGCCCCGCATCAGGTTCCCTGCTCAGTGGGGAGTCTGCTTCTCCTTCTCCCTCTGCCCCCGCCACACACTCATGCTCTCTTTCTCTCTCTCTCATATAAATAAATAAAATCTTAAAAAAAAAAAGATTAAGAAGTAGCTCGCCAGAGGTTCCTCACTGATGACTGCGGGAAGGATGATGGTTTAACCGATGGAAGAATAAGCAAATACTGAACTCCAGACACATCTGAGTCTAATGCATAATGCCATGAAATCATAAAAACATTGCATCCTTCTTCTCAGGCACTTTATTTGGAAAAAGGTTTCATCAAAGTGATGATTATCTTGAGTATTTGGAGCCCTTCATTGGGAGGAGACATACAAATTATTTTAAATATCTAAAAATTATTAGCATTATTAGGATTCAGTGCTTCCAAGTTTTCGTGTCATGAAAACGACCCAAGGGTTAGATGAGGCAGGACACTGGAAAGTACTGGTAACAAAAGGTGTTTTGTTTGGTTTTTTTTTTCCAAGGTGTCTTAGGATCGGTGGAGGGGTTAGGACGGGGAGGGAAGAGAAAAATCATCATCACCACTTGCCTCATGCTTTGCTTTGTCAACCTGGCTCACGTCCTTCGTATCGAAACCTGAATATTTCATGAAACTGATTTTTCAGAGTTTTAAAATGCAAAGTTAATTGTTTTGAAAACATTATGAAACATCAGTACTTCAATACCACATAAGGACTTTTTTTCCCTCAGTCTAAAGCTACGCACCCACCCCCAAAAAAGTATCGTGTGAACCAAAACTGACAAAGAAATTCACTGTACCTCAAAGCATCTCTAACCTTATAAACCTGGTAAAAGATATAAGCATTCCCCCAGGAAGGATGAAAGCCAAAAATCTGCAAATAGCCCTCGACACCTCTGTCACTTCTGACAAAGCAATGGTTTTATGAGAAATTTCTAGAAACAACCAAGTGACCTTCTGATCAAAGAACTGGGGTTCTTTGATGTCTCTAAAGAGAATGCTTTTAGTTATTTAACACAAATACACACACACACAAAGGGCCTGGGGTAAGATGAAAATATCCCCTGTGTGAAATAAATTCATTAAAGGAAAGTGGTATTTGTAGATGGAATTTGGTGGTTAACTGCTGAACTCCAACACAGAGTAGAGAGGCAGGTAAAAACGTCACAAAATAGCTAACATTTTGAGCACTGACCGTATGTCAGCTTCTCTTCTAAATGTTTTACATATAAGAATTTATCCTTGGGGCGCCTGGGTGGCTCAGTCGTTAAGCATCTGCCTTCAGCTCAGGTCATGATCCCAGGGTCCTGGGATCGAGCCCCATGTCGGGCTCCCTGCTCAGCGGGAGGCCTGCTTCTCCCTCTCCCACTCCCCCTGCTTGTGTTCCCTCTCTCGCTGTCTCTCTCTCTGTCAAATAAATAAAATCTTTAAAAAAAAAAAATTTATCCTTGCAACAACTCTGTGAAGGGGGAGATGTAGAAAGTGAAGTGCAGAGAGGCCAAGTCATGTGCCGAAGGTCACATAGCTAAAAAGTGGCAGAGCCTGTATTCAAATCCAGACATTTGGACTCCAGATAACAAACATGTCCAGCAGCCTTCCTCATACTAACAGGCGAAACACAGGGAGCCTTCCGTTAAACATCACGGACCATACAAGCAGCAGGGCCACTGTGGGCACATTCTGTGCCTTTGTGTAAATTATAAGAAGACGCACACAAACCCCGCAGGTAAATTTCAAAATGGCGTCCTTCCTTCAGGGGAATGCAGCACACATGGGCCAAATGGCTTGGCTGGCAGGATGTGGGCTGGACAGCATCCCCTCTGTCACTGCATCAGCCTGGCAACTTTGTGCAGGGCACCTGCCTGAACGGCTTATGCTGTGGCCCTGAAACTCAGAAAACTTATTTCCTGGATGATAAGAATTTAATCACCCGTTCTTTGTCTCCTCAATGCTAGGACACAGTTGGAGCTTAGGTGATTATGGAATGGATTCATTTAAGACCCTTC